AGAAACAGGACAGAAGCCTACCACAGAGGGTCCCTGAAAGACTCTACCCAGCAGGGTATTAAAGCAGATGCTGAGACTCATAGCCAAACTTTGGGCAGAGTGCAGGGAATCTTATGAAAGAAGTGGGGAGATAGTAAGACCTGGAGAGGACGGGAGCTCCACAAGAAGAGCAACAGAACCAAGAAATCTGGGCCCGGGTCTTTCCTGAGGCTGATACTCCAACCAAGGACCATGCACGGATATAACCTAGAACCCCTGCACAGATGTAACCCATGGCAACTCAGTATCCAAGTGGGTTCCCTAGTAAGGAGAACAGGAACTGTCTCTAACATGAACTCAGTGGCTGGCTCTTTGATCACCTTCCCCTGATGCAACCTTACCAGTCCACAGAGGAAGACAATGCAGCTAGTCCTGATGAGACCTGAAAGGCAAGGTCAGAGGAAAGGGAAAGAGGACATCCCCTATCAGTGGGGTGGGGGAGGAAAGAGGGAGCAGAAGAGGGAGGAAGAGTAGGATTAGGAGGGAACAAGGGAAGGGGCTGCAGCTGGGATACAAAATGAATAAATTTTCATTAATAAAAAATAAATTAATAAAAATTGATAGAAATAGCTCAGGTTTTGGTGCTCATATCTGTGGTCCTAGCACTTTAACTGCTTATCTCCTTCCCCATATTTTAATTTTTCTTTTATCTGTTTGCCTCCTAATTCACTCTGTTTCTTGAGCCTCTGTTATTCCTAATCTAGAATAACACAGATCTTTGTTAAATTAGTCTTTTCAAAACCATATCCAGATCCTATCTCATGACATTAAACCTCTGTTCATTGCTTTTAAGTAATATTTTAAAGACCCAACTAAGGATGCCAGCTCCTGATAGTGACTGTCACATTGGCATCAAATTCTGGTCAGATAGAGAAGCAACCAAAGACAGGAAGTGACCTGGGCTAATTTCTTTTTTGAGACAGTTTCCATTCTGAAGCTTTTTTACTTTGTTCAACTCCTGGCAGCATTTTCTGTGTTGACACTTTAAAATGGATTTCTCAGACCTACTCTTCTGGGTTCTGAAATGGTTTATTCTGTTAGCTCAGTTATGTACATCTCCATATGCTTCTGTTTAAAGTGAAAACTAGTATTTGAAAATTTACTAGAAGAATCTCTGCACATATCACACCACTGATACATGCAGACCCAATAAAATTTGAGAACATTTAAAGACAAACATTTTTGTTTATCCCATGCCAGCATTCTGAGATAAAGCTGACATCTAGAAGAACTGGTATCTAACCATTTTTTAAAAGAGCAAAGAGTTATTGAACACTGTAAACAAACTTCAAATATGTTGCCTTGAATGAAGATTAAAAATTATTATATCTTTAACGATACTCAACAGACTTACAAATCTTAAGGTACAAGAAGGTTATATAATCGTCTTTCAAATTTTAAGATAAGTTTCATATTTCGGCAAAAGTTTTAGAGGGTTAAATGAAACAAACAAACAAACAAAAAAGAGAGTATGAGCTGAGTGGAAATAATTCCCATTAGGAATAGTCTATTTTTTTTGTTTTTGCTTTCCTTTCATATAGTCAGGTGGCCTGCCTGATTGATACAAGACAGAGATTTTGTAGGAAACATTTCAACAAACATGTTTGGGTCTAGAGGAGTGGAAGACATAGCCAAATTCTAGAGCCAGCTTCTCACTGGAGTTGAACAGTATAGAACAACATTGTAATATTATCCATACCCAAAAGACACCTGAATCCCTGTAAAACTGTGCCTAGACAGAGGAACCAGAGTAAGCTGAAAACAAAGAAGGCTAAGAGATATGGAAAAACAAAAAACAAACAAACAAACAAAAAAACCCTCTGGATTTAGACAGAGGACAGTGCAGGAAAGGGCTGAGACACGCCCCAGCTATTAAACAGCCTGTATGCACCTCAGCTGTGCCTACTCCTTCCTTTCTACCTGTCTCCTGGCTCCCTCATCTGCAACAAAGTTATGAACATACCAGAAAACACAGATTCATCAAACACTGACTTAAAATGACACAATATTCACACAGTCGGGGTTGGGGGAGGGGATCCAGATAAAAACAAACATTTGGCAGTGAAATTTTATCATATGCCCAGCAGCCAATTTCCATCTTGGCTGTTTCAAGAAGGCCAGCAACATCCTGTGTCCAGCTTTTCCATGAGTGCCTCAAAATGTGTGCTACAGGCAAACAGGATCCTCATCTAACCTCGGGAGGTGTTCTGGTGCCTCTTTTTTCACAATCGAAGGGTTGAGAATCCGCCAGTAGCTCCTTCCAAGAGCTGGGCCGATCCAATTTCTTGGTTCCCAGCGTGCCGGAAACACTCAGGGACTACAGCTCTTTTGTAAAGTCTTCTTGTCATTAAAGGCCCCTGGCTCCCTCCAAACACTGGGCTTTTCCTATCTCTCAGCTTCCAATATGCCTGGAGCCTCCCAGCCTCCTAAGGCTGGCTAAAAAAACAATGGATGGAGCTGACTGTCCAAATCCTGAATAAGCTCCCAAATGTTATGGGTCTCAGGATTCTTGAATGTAGCACCCAGCCACCAAAGTTAGGGATTTGTAAAGGCAGAGAACACACAGTTACGTCCTGTTCTCCCGCAAACAGATGGTCCTCTCATTCACAACAAGCTCCCGCTTACAGAAAACCAAGACCAAAACCAGTGGTCTACCAGCAGGTGACCTTATGTCCTATTACCTGGCATAAACAACAGTTTTGTTAAAATTTACAAGACCAGGCAATTGCAAAAATTAATCCTTAATGGCCTTTAATATTTGGAAGTCCATTTTTGCTTGATAGTTCTATTAAGCACAGTAATATTAAACTTTTAAACATAAAATTAGTCACCAGCTTAACATCAACATCTCACTGATGATGCCTACTGTAATGGTTTCAGAAACCTGCTTCTCTCAAAATACACCATGTTTTTCAGGCCCCTAATTTTTGTTTTTAGATTCTTTATTTCTGTGTAAGATTTATGCTTTTCCTTGTCTTCCCCACCATAGAAAACACAACTGTTCTACTGTTTAGGTTCAAAACTCTAGAACAATTTTGGTTTTGTTGTCTCTCACTGTCTATTTTTAACCACAGTTATTGAATTGTATCTATTCAAGTGTCTTAATTCATCTATGAACCTTAGGAAATTTGATTTAGGAAAAACATGATTTTTCCTAACGTCATAATAAGCCTACCCTCACTGCTTGTCTATCCATGATAACCACACAGATACATATTATGAATCTATGCCAGCTTTTCATTGCCTGAAAAGCCCACAGAGCCTTCCTTAATTTTGCCTGCCTATTCTATACTCAGGTTCTTGCTCATAGAAGAGGCAGCCACGTCACAATAATCCTGTATATTTCAGCTTCTGAAACCCTTGTTTCTAAAAGAAATCACTCTCTATCTCGCTTCTATCTAACCCTCAAAAGTAAAAAATACTTATGACATAGAAGCAATTATGAACTGAAATAGAATAATTAAAGTAGATAATTTAAAATATATATGTATTTTAATTCATTATGCAGAGTATAAAACTGTTTTGTATTAATATGTAGGTCTGGGTGTATGGAAGATCAATCTTCTGGGTTTATTCTATCTGGGATTATACAAAATATAATATTAAATAGATTTCAGAATTGATCTGAATGTACTGACTTTACTCAGCTGAAAATATCCAGCTGTCGTGCTTTTATTGTAGCTTAAGAAGAGTGGAAAAATATAAATTGATGTGGTCAAAATGTACTCATTCTTCATAGACGGTTGTGCTTCTGTCTGGACTTGAAATATTTATTTATGTGTAAGAATGTCTGGCATGCATGGATCTCTGTGCAACACGTGGATACTTGGTTCCTTTGGAAGCCCCCAAAGGAACTGTAGCTTACACATGGTTGTGAGCTTCCATATGAGTGTTGGAAATAGAACCTGGGCTGTCTGAAAAGGGATTCATTGATTTTAACTGCTGAGCCATTCTCCAACCTCAAGTAAGAATTAAACGCAGTGTACAGGTGAATTTTGAATATACATTTTGCATGAAGCACAGTTTTCTCATAAGAAGTTTAAAATCACTTCATTTCAAACAAACATTTTACATGGGAAATAAATGATATATATTTGAGCATTCTTCTGCCTTCAGTATGAAGTATCAGGTGTAAAAACTGGTTTCTCTAAAAACAGTTAACAATTTGAATGCAGAGTGCTTTGGCTGCCAAAACTATCATCAGGTATTCCTGTTAGAGACTGAATCTGGTCTATAGAGAATGTAAATGGACAGAAGCCTACCCATAACCCTGAGCCAGACTGCGCTCTCTGGGTTTCCCTTTGTTTCAGGAAATGCATTATATCTAATATCCTCAAATGCCCAGTTGTGAGACTGATAGAGCCAGTAAAGAGAAGTATTTAGAAAGAATATGTGAATACTTGTAGTTTGCATTGTGTTTTGGATGTTCAGCTATTGAAGTTGTCTATCATTTCATCATTGGTAGATTTTAATCTGACTTGTGAATTTTCTTAAGCACCCCACAACACACAAGACAATAATTCTCAGGCCACGCCATGCTTAGTATTTGTTTTTGTTTGCAATTTTTACTCTATATCTCAGAAAATGGATGAATATCAAGAGGATAGAGACAGAATCAAAGACTGGGCATGTTCGGCCAAGGGGAAAAGAAGTCCCCTCCCCCTGCCAGTCTCACCCAGTTGAGGCTGTTCAATATCAGCCTCAACTTTGTTTTATATCTCAGTGGTTGTCCACATTTACCTGAATTTAAGAATGTCATCTAATCGTATCCAAATACATGATAACTTGGCCTTTTTGTTGCTTCATTTTAAAATTATGTTTATACAGGAGGTAATCAAGTTTGAATCTGGAAGCTCGTTGCCCTGTTGTATGAAGGTAGAACTCTTCTACAGTTACTTGGTTGAGCCAGAAATGGCTAACTAACATGGTGTTTGGTCTGTTCCCTTCTCATGCACCCTTAGGCAGAACGCTTTCCAGGTTGTTGCTGTGGATGGAGTCTGCAGTGGAATTCTTCAGTGCCTCTCTGCTGAAGACTGCATGGATTGGCTCCAAGCAATAGCAGCCAACATTTCAAACCTCACAAAGCACAATGTAAGTACAGATTCAAGGAATACATATCTAGTCAGAAAGTCTTTCAGCAGTTGTAGGTCTATTCGGTGGCATTTAACTTTGCTTCATCTGCTTAGTGCCATTCCAAGAATAAGCCTCCTTCTACTTCCTCAGAGATTTTTCTGAAACAAAAGAGAAAAATTGCCTCACTGAGAAAGCACAGGCACAACTGATCTGCAAGAAAACACTTGCAGGTTTCCTTTGCCTGGTGACAAAAAGGAACTGCTTTAAATAAACATGACACAGAATGTGGCTTGGAAATGGCATGTTTAAGAGCACGCTAGGCAAACAGGTTGCTGAATTTTAAGGAAATGGTATTGATTTGTCTTCAGCAACCTTAGGACTGCAGCTGAGAATGTGTGAATGAGAAGGTTCTGAGGCAAGTGTCAACATGGACAATGAAGCTTTCCCAGGGGACTCTGTGGGCACAAGGCTAAAGAGTGGATATCCTTATGCAATGCAAAAAGCTGAGCAGTACAGCCTCTGTCAATAGAAATAGCTTCTCACCTAACCTATGTTTCCCACTGCCTTTTTTCTCCCTCAATTTCTGTGTGTCTTTGTGGTCATCATGTCCTCGATATCATTACATTGAAATAATTTCTAATTTCTCGGTATAATTCCAACTAGTCTAACAAAGTTTGAAAATAATAAACCAAGAAGAAGGAAAGACATTGGGCATTGGACAGTTTTCTGGCCAAGCAAGAGGAAAGACCTTAGAACATATTATCATCTCTTTATTCAAAATACAACAGGGCTGCTATAACCAACAGCGTTTATTTGCATTATTTTTTAAATATCTTGGGGGTGAAATTATGCATAAAGCTGAGTTACACTGTGATGCCATTACAGACATTTGAAGGTTTTAAGCTCTGCCTGAACAAATACAAATAACCTGAGTACCCATAAGCCTGATCAAGGCACATAACTTGAGCAATAATGATGCTGCGTCTTTCTGCCAAGCTTTGTTAATTTGGTGAATTCAGCCCCCGTCAAAACTCCATGATATTTATTATAGAATCATATTCATTTCACATATTGAAGCACAAAGCACTCATAACTGTCAGCAGAACCTAAGTAAAACTATGAGGTGTCATATCTAAACTCATCTTACACTAAGAACAATAAATAATAACAAAATCAGCAGGTTGTTCAAACAGACAGAAAGATCATTGTGATTATATTAGAGGATCCAGAAATAAATGCACACAGATATGACCAGCTAAAGGCTGACAATAGTACCAAAACCTACAGTGGGAAAGAGCAGGGATCTTTTTAACATATCTCTTTAACATCTTTAACAGATGCTCTTGAGAAATACAGATCCACATGCAGAAAAATACATTTAGACCTTGACCTCTTATTCTTCACACACACACACAAAATGAAATCAATGTGAACCAAAACCTATAATATAAGACCTGAAACTTTCTCAAGCTGGAGGAAAACACAAGGAGAAAACCTTGGAGAAATAGACATAAACAAGCTTTCTGAAATGTGCTTCAATAACATGAAAAATAATCGCAAGAACTGACAAATGGAATCATGTGAATTAAGGACACAATAACCAGAATGAATAGCTTGCAAGATGAGCAACAGACAGGCCACTCATATATATCAAGGGATTAATACCAAAATGTATAATGACTTCAAAACATACAAAAAAACCCACTGATCATCCAATCAATAAGTGAATAAAAGCATCGAACAGAAAGCTTTTTACAAGAAAAATGAAAATGGCCTATAAATACTTTGCAAAGTGTTTTACATACTTAGACAATTATAATTTAAACTATTCTGAGATTCGAAGTTACTCCAATCAGAATGGTTAGTATCAAGAAAACAAATGGAGCAGAAAGACAGATATGGTATATACTCACTTATAAGTAGATAGACAGAAGGTCCTTCCACAGAGGACCTCTGAAAGACTCTACCCACCAGGGTATCAAAGGAGATACTGAGACTCATAGTCAAACTTTGGGCAGAGTACTGGAAACCTTATGGAAGAAGAGGGAGACAGAAAGACCTGGAGGGGACAGGAACTCCACAGGGATAAAAACAGAGCCAAATACACAGGCCCAGTGGGGCCTGCAGAGACAGATACTCCAACTAGGGACCATGCATGGAAAGGTCCTAGACTCCTGATCAGAGGAAGCCCATAGGTTGCTCAGTTTCCAAATGGGTTCTCTAGTAAGGGGTACAGGGCCTGTCTCTGACATGAACTCAGTGGCTGCCTCTTTTGAGCACCTCCAACAGGGGGTTGCAGCCTTGCCGGGCAACAGAGGAAGATGATATAGCCAGCCTTGATGAGACCTGATAGACTAAGGCCAGATAGAAGAGGAGAAGGTCCTCCCCTATCAGGGGACTAGGGAAAGGGCATAGGGACAGAAAAGGATGTGTGGGTGGGACTGGGAGACTATGAGGGAGGAGGCTGTAGTGAGGATACAAAGTGAAGAAATTGAAATAAATAAATAAATAAATAAATAAATAAATAAATAAATGAAAACAAATGAGATAGGTTTGGTGGCACATACCCATAGGATATGCTGAAGAGGCAGAGGCAGAAGGATCATAAGTTCAAGTCTGCTAAACATTGGCATTGTATGATGGCGTATGTCATTAATCCTAAAACTCAACAGCTAGGGACAGGCAGACTCTGTAAATTCAAGACAGCTTGGTCTACAAAGCAAATTGTGGCCAGTTAGGACTACAAAATGAGGCCCTGTCGATCAGGAAGATCGAAGAGGAAAGAGAGAAATAAAGAGACAAAAAAAGAAAGGAAGGAAGAAAAGAAGAAAGAAAGAAAAGATAAAAGAAAGAAAAGAAAAGAAAGAAAGAAGGGAGGGAGGGAGGAAAGGAAGGAGCGAAAGAAGGAAAGAAAGAAGAAAGGATGGGGGAGGGAAGAAGGGAGGGCAGGAAGGAAGGAAAGAAGAAAAGAGAAAATGAGAATGAATGTTTGATGAAAATGTGGAAAAAATCAGTTTTTAAACACTAATTGCTAAGATGCAAACTGGTACCATCACTATAGAAATGAATATGAATGAAAATCTCAGAATTTATTTTCCCCAAAAGTCTAAAATATAACTACCCTGTAATTTGGGTACATACCACTCCCAGAAATATACCTGTATATTACATACACATAAGACTATGTAGATGCACACCACATAGAAATTGTACAGCAGGGTAATTGCTATGTAGCAGCTGATAGGTAGAACCAGCCTGATTTACCAAGTAAAATATACCCACCGGCAGATGATTAGATTTAGATATTTTATTTATAGGCAGAAGAGTGCTACTCTCTCTCTCCTCCATCCCCCCCCCTCTCTCTCTCTGTGTATGTGTGTGTGTGTAAGAGAGGGGGAAGAGAGAAAGGAAGAAAGGAGGAGGCAGGGGACCAGGAAGGAATGGCAGGTAATGGGGAAAGTGAAGGGCAAAGTGTTATACGGTATACATATGGAAACCTCATGATTAAACACATTATTTTGTTCACCAGCCACAAATGAAACAATTGACTTTGATTTCAAGAGTGTAACACTGTGCCTAACAGAAGGTCAGATAGAGTAATGACCTCCTGAAGCCATCTTTATGCCAGTCCCAAATCTTGTGCTTATACTCCTTCCTGTGGCAAATGAGATGAAGGTTACAATTTTGATCCCCACAGTCATGCAGCTGACTTTAATATCTGGAGATTGACCTAGATCATTCAAGGGACTGAAATGTAACCACCAGGCCTTCCATTTACGGAAGGTGACTGTGGAGAAGTGACAGCCTCTGCTATGGGCTGCCACTGACAAATGCTCTTCTACCGACACCAGTGTTTTGGCCCTGTGTGACCTACTTGGGACTGAAAACCTACAGAACTGTAAAATGACAGATCTGTTTTCTGTTTGTGGACTTAATTAAGCATGAAGTTTGTACTCTGTTTCTAGCATCATTTGTACACCTTCAGATAGCTCTCAGCTGGGAGGCTTAAGTGACCAACACACTACTCCACAAGCAGCAATGGAGCCTTCAGCAGCTCCACATTAGGATATACTTCTACACACTCAACAGAAATCCTAGCCTTGTAACTTTCATACATTTCTATTCATTTTGCCTTGGGAAAGACATGTTAATTTTTCTTTGATTTGGTTGCAACTTGGCAGTTGCTCAGAAATGTAGAGGCAAATACTAAATTTTTTTAAATATGATTCCTTCCAATAAACCATAACGGACTGCTTCCTACCCCCATTGCCAAGCCATTCTGTGCTTCTTTGCTCTGCTCCCTGTCTCTGGACAGAGAAGTTTCTTAGAATGAATAGTGTATGAGTCATATACTTAAGTTTTATTATTCCCATCAGCTCAAATATTCTGATTTTTATTTTATTTATTGAGAATTTCATATATGAGTCCTGCGTTTTCATCACCCCCTTCTCTTTTCTAGTACTCTGATACCCTCCCACTTATTTGTATTGCCACTTATTTGTTCAATATTTTTTCATATATACACATAACTACATAAATACAAGCTGTTGAATCCATTTAGTGTTTTCATATGTATATGCCCTTAAGGCTGACCACTTCAGACTGGATAGCTTGTCAGGGAACCCATCCTTGGAGAAGACTGATTCTCTGTGTATACACAGCTGTTAATTGCCGGTAGCTCTTTATCTAGGTGTGAGACCTTATGAGACTTCTCCAGGTTTTTTTATATTTTTTCTGAGTATATTATTCCCCTGGAGTATTAAACAGGAAACGCTTCCAAAGACATTCCCTTTTCATAATGATTAAATTAGGGTCATGTTTTAAAGTTTAACTATGTATCTCATATTCACACTAACTTTTCAATTAAAAAATTCTGGTTCTACTATTGGTTACACCAGTTGCAACACTCAGTGAGGCAAGCCAACAATTGAACAATTCACCAGAAGTCCAGATTGTTTAAGACTGAAACAGCTTTGTTCTTGCCTTCCTTTCTAGGACATGATTTTTAAATAAGGTGC